TGAGCAAAAGCAGTAATCCATACAAAAAAGGAAAAGTTTTGGGCTAAACAACCGCAAGAAAAAGCAAAACGGCACACAAAACGTCAAAATACAGAAAAAATGTATCGAAATTAGCATTATCGATCGAGGGAGGCGCCGACTGCGCGCCAAGTACGCATTGTGCGCCAGAGCGCGTGTTGACGTTTTTCACCCTGTCCGAGCCGTCCGCACGGACGGCGCGGACGGCGCGGACGGCGCGGACGGCGCGGACGGCGCGGACGGCACGGACCGCAGACTATGAAAGCAGCCTTACGATCGTTGTGTCGCACGATCAATACGCAGCTACTATTCCACACTACAATGGGACTTTCGAAATACCATCACGCGCAGTCACGTGTTGTCTGGGTTTGCATTGGGTGACCGCGTCGCCTTCCATTTGCGACCGCGGTTTATGCGACACTTGCGGTCGTTGCTGTCGTCCGACCGACTATGCGTGCGGCCTAAGTGAACATGCCGCGGCGGACTGCCCTACCCCGAGCCACATAGCGCCGAAATGAATCCTACAAACAGGGGAGCTATGGCACCTGCTCGAAACGAATTCGATGTGCGCGCGAAATGGCGATATTCAAATGTCACGGAGTTGCCCCACACCAAAAAATCATGGCTACCGTAACCCCACGAGCAAAAAGGCTGATTCAGCTGTGAACTGTTGCCAGCATTTCGCTTGCACTGCATTTGCGTTATTGTTGGGTTTATGTATTTGAATTAGCTGATTCCTCTACAAAGATTCTCGAGCAGTACTAAATTTAGTAGAGGTAAAACGCGAACATGCGATCTCCTCCTACTGGCTGATTGTGCATGCTCGTCATGTAATAAACATATGGAATGGACAATTTCAGATATGTCAGTGGTCTTTGGAAGTGTCGACTGTAAGCCGTTTCTGCCTCTCGAAGGAACATGAAGTATCTACAAGGTGTCAACAGCAAATGATTATGCACTCGCAGTGACAGCACGGGATGTGAAACCTCGAAACCTTCGGCACTGATACGAGTTGATATGATTGGCGCTGTCCTCACCAAACAACGTAGATCCGTCAAGCTGCGGATCTCGAGCATTCTGCGCTCATCACGCGTTCTGTGATGTGTGGCAGCGCATCGTAACATTGATCCTTTTTTTGCAATTACATCCATCATTGACGATGACAAAACGCATATGTTCAATCACTCAGCTTCAGTACCCGCGAATGAAGTCTTTTTCAAGAACACCCGCTTGAAAAGGAACACTGCTTCTTACAATTAGCATAAGCAGAAAGAAACGCGTCATAACACATTCCAAAAATACACAATCGAGGCAAGGAGGCCTGTCCCAACAAAAGGGGGCGGGGACTCCTGCCGGTAACAATAGTTCCAAGTTTTGCTAAAGGAACAAGCTAACGAGGTGCGAAACCATTTCATTCCCGATTTTGCACCCACTGCTGAGCAATACTTGCAAAATGCATCTGGCCCCTTCCCAGCCACATACTAGCCACGTGTAATTAGTAGCGCCATCTCGACAACTCTGGGTTTGGTTTTATCAAATCTTTCGCCTAATTTTCACCAAAGTACAACATCCACCGACCAATCTGATGACTCTCGCAACCCCTACACAAACATTCCATGCTATCGCTGCACAGCACTTTTTTCGTATACATGAATTCATATCGCGAGCTGATTCCGCTACTCTGCCCTAATTCAAATTGAAGTAGAGTTCCACGATGAGACGATGTCGAAGAGGTGAAAACTTACCTAGTGGGAAAAGAGGCGGACCTCCTAAGGTGTTGGCCGACACGCAATTCGCATCGAAGTATGCTCCTGGGCGATCTAGCATGACCACCCCCAGCGCTATTAGCCACGCTATCGACACTATACGCACCCCCTCTCGCTATTTAGCAGAGCGAGCGTTAGCGTTGAAGAGGGCAGCACCGATGGGAGTGCATCAATGCGGAAATCAACGGGCAGAAAGGAAACCCATTCTCATGCACTAGGCCGTTTTTCTTAGTTTTTTCGTCTTTGGTGCATCTTTCATCGTGAAATCCGTCTTTAAAGGAAGAAAACCGAGCGGATCTAATCGTTGAAAATGTTGTATTTAAGGATTTGAAAAATAGGAGTAGTCGTTTTAGAGCGAAGCCGACAATATACTTGGATAAATCAAAAATGCGGTTTAATAAATTGAAAATGTAGCAGTCTGTCAACAATTTAGCAAGAACTAATGCATTGAAAGTCGATCGGTCAAAGACTGCTTGAACATCCCTTCCAAGCCAACACTACTTGAGATGTGTCTCTGCTTAATGAACCGGGCACGTACCAAACTCTGACGTGATGCAGTAAGAGGACGAGGACCATCAGGAGCATGGAGGCTGGCTTTGGATGAGTACATCTCCGCCGTAGGCCGGCTGGATCTCATCGTCGATGTTTTGCGTGCTTAGCCGCTGAAAGCAGTACTTCAGATGTGTATTTTCTTAGTCAAATCTGGAACATACCATACTCTGACGGGATGCGGTGAGAGCTTGAGGACGGTCAGGGGCATGCAGACTTCCACTTGAGGAATATATGCGAGCCGTTGCTGGTTCGTTCTCATCCACGATGTTCTGCGTGCTCACTCGCTAAAAATGCCGCTTTAGATATGTCTTTGCTTACCATCAGTCATTGCTGCATTGCACCATTGCTTACCATTGCTTACCATTGATCAGAAGATGGCCTGATTCGTTTACCCTCACCCCTGGTTTATGCCGTTCTTTTTTGTACTAAAGCTGGCCTCTGCATACGCGGGCCTCTTGCTTATACATATATTTAATCAGTCACTGCTTCCAGTGAGGTTTTTACACGTTGGAAACACTCCTTCGTTACACCTTGCTCAAGAAGGAGCCTTCGTGCAATCCCGAAAATTGTCGACCAGTCACGTCCTTGTTTTGCAGCTTTTTGAAAAAGTCTTGAAAGACCACCTCAAACACCATTTGACGCTCAATTATATTACTTTCGAAGCAACAGAATGGTTTTGTTCCTAGGCCGATCCGTTGAAACAAACGTGACAGAATCTCTCAATGACTGGACTGAAATTTTGGATAATGAGGGCTGTTGTTATGTCATTTCTTCGACTTCGCAAAAGCTTTCGACAGCCTCACATAAGAAACTCATTTACAAACTAGAAGCTCTCATTTGATCCTGTTGTCGTTAAATGGGTTTAAAATTACCTAACTGGAAGAATTTTCCAGGTTAAAATTGATCAAGCATTTTCCGATGTTAGACGGGTAGCAAGCGGTGCGCCCAGGGCGGAACTATCACCATTTCTTTTTAATATCTTTACCAGAACTCCTTGATATGCTCCTCAAAGTAGGAGTCACAGCAAAACTTTAGGCGGATGACATGAAAATGCATGAGCCTATCCTAGACTTTAGTTATTATCAAAACTCTGAATCAACTCTTCACGCGCTACCGAGCAAGCAGGGTTCCGAAGAGGGTTCAGCACGATCGACCATATCCACACGGTTACAAGACTCATTGAAGTTTCACGAGAGTACAAGATGCCGCTTTGTCTCACGTTCATCGACTTGAAGAAGGCCTTCGACTCTGTGGAGACAGAAGCGGTCATCGAAGCCTTGGGCAACCAGGGCGTCCCTACTCAGTACATCAAGATTCTTCGTGAGCTCTACAGCAACTTTACGACCAGAATCTCACCATTCTACAAGGAGGTCATCATCGACGTCAAGAGAGGGGTTCGACAGGGCGACACCATCTCGCCCAAACTCTTCAGCGCCGCTCTCGAGAACGTCATGCGTCAACTGGAATGGGAAGACATGGGAGTGAAGGTCGACGGCCGGCAACTACCCCGCCTTCGTTGTGCTGACGACATCGTTCTTATAACGCCGAACATCGAGCAA